CTCCAGTTCCTCTCCTCCCATTCTCTTAAACACACAGCTTATGGCATTTTTCACCTCTGCTGAAATGGTTCCGGTGAAGATGGCTATCTTCTGTTGGCTTATCCTTTGCTAAATCTGGTGATTGGGTCTCAGTACTCAACTTACTTGACTGTCAGCAGCATTCGAGACAATTGATTACTCTCTTTTCCTTGACACACTTTTTGCACACAGCCTCCAGTTCCCATGCTCTCTCGGTTGTCCTCATCACTGGGACTCCTTCTTGGCCTCCTTTGCCCAGTCTTTCTTATCTCCTTGACTTCTAAATGCCCCAAGGTGATCCACGGATCTATTCTCCTCTCTATAATTCCTCCTTATGTGATTTTATTCTGAGTCATGGTTTTACATACCATCAACATGCCAGTGACTCCCAGGTTTGTATTTCCAACCTGGACCTCTCCTCTGAAATCCAAGATTGTATACCCAACTGGCTAATGACATCGCAGCATGGATACTTAAAGCACACCTCGATTTCATTATGTCCAAAATGGAACTCCAGATTTTCACCCCTAAACCTGATTCTCCTAGAGTCTTCTCCACATCTGGAAACAGCAATCTCATCCTTTCAGTTGGTCAAGACAAAAAACTTGGAGTCATCCTTGATTCTTCTATTTCTCTCACACCAGCTCTGATCCATCAGAAAACTCGTTGGCTCCTCCTTTACATTTCTGCACACGTGATAATGTAACACCTTCACTGCTGCCTCCTGGTTCAGTCTTCTATGATCTCCTTCCTGGATGCTTGCAAAGCCTCCTAACCAGGCTCTTTGATTCATCTCCTGAATGCCTATGTATCTCACAGCAGCGAAAACTTATGTTCTTAAAATATGTCAGATTATGGCACCCCCTATGTCCAAAGCCTTCCCGTGACTTCACGTTGATAGACTGAATATGCAAACAGACCACAGCCGGATCACTATTACAATACAACTCTGACCCACAACACTCAGCAACCATGAAGCCAATCCATAACCTTTATAACAATCAGCCCCAAATGGTCTGGACTTGATCTGGCAGGTTTCTTAATTTTTGTCCCCACTTCCAACTTAGGACCAACTAGGAAAACAAAATATGCTGCTCTCACCAATCACACAGGATGCCCCACTCCTAGTCAGCCTGCCACAGCTTCCCCAGGCCAAATCCTCCAAAAATCGGGGTGTACTTGAGCCTTCCCTTTTTTCCACTGTGAATCTTTCCCACTCCTACGCCTGCCTGAGTCTCTGTACAAACTGGCTATAGCGAGCTCTGAATAAATAGCTTTTGCCTGTTCTCATCCACTGGGTGGCCCTTGTTTATCTCCATGTGACTCAGAGCAAAGACTGAAGTCGTTCCATTAGTCCTGAAGGCTCCATGTGATCCACCCGCCACCTGCCCCATCACTACCTCTCCAGCCTCAGGTCTTACCCTCTTACCCAATTTGCTTCAACCACATCAGCCTCCTGGCTGTTCCTTGTCCGTACATAGCACAGCCTGGCCTGAGGCCCTTTTCACTGTTCATCCCTTTGCCTGGAATTCTCTGTTATTCACGTGGGGCACCTCATCACTACCTTCAGATCTCAGCTACAGTGTGACCGTCTCAGAGAAAACTTCTGTCACTTTCCTGTAGGTCATAGAACCCTCCCCCGCCCACTTGTCCAGCCCAGCACTCCCTGTCACCCCAGCACACTTTATTTTCTTCATATCATTTGTTACCACCTCATATACTGTGTATTTTTTGTATGTTTGTTTATTTTCTTTCCTCTCCCCACCTTCCGACTACAATGAAAGCTCCAAGAGGCCAGATATTTTGTTTATTTCTACAGTGCCTGGCAAGTTGAAGTCACTGCATCAATGTTTGATAAATGAATAATTTGTTATAAAATCTTACATTCACAGATATTTTTTTAAATGAGGGCATTTTTAAAGTTGATATATCCCTCAGAGTCCTAGAAGAAAACAAATGGCACA